CAAGGATACCGAGGCCCAAACCCCTAGCAAAAGCAAGCCTGGTGCTGATGGCTGGAGCAAGGTCCCGTTTGAAGAACATGTGAAGAAATCCCTAAGCTCTTGAGTCATTTGACGGGGATCCGCCTTCATTTGTAGTTTGCAAGTGCTGTTTGGGAGCTTCAACACCGGAGGCAATTTGGACTTAAGGAGCTCCCCAATCTACCTCCATGGGACTGCTCGATGGTAATGCTAAGACACATTGAATTGCGATGTGCCAGAAGCAAAATAGCTAGCACCTGGCATTTGAGTACTTCTCAGCACCTGAACAATCTTGACTTGGCAGCGATTGGCATATCATCAGGGCGATCCCAATGCGATTCTTCGCACCTCGTGTGGCATCATGGACCTGGCGCCAGGTTAAGGAAGATCATCTTTGAGACTTGAGGAATATCTCCCCCAAACGACTCGTCGAAAATGCTAAACACTCCCTGAAACAATCATGGAAGTGGATGGCATCAGCCCTGGTTTCGACCATTTATACACTGGCCAGAAGAAAGTTGCGCTTCTTGATGTTGAAACTCATGACAACCCTATCCCCCTAGAATCCTACACCATGAGACAAGGGAAGGTGTGGGCGGTCATTTGTCACCCCGGAAAGCCTTTTATTATTATGGATTTAAAACGGTGTGATAATTGACCGTCCCACACCTGCCACGAAAATTGGACTTGTTAATTCGATCCGCCGCTGACCTCAGAGTGTTTTGTAAGAAGGCTAACAAGCGTAAACTTTTGTCTGCCTGAAGTATAGCTCTATTACAAGGCGGTCCTGGTACTGGTCAGCCTTCATGTTTGTTGCAGAGAGGGGGGGTAAGTTATATAACTTATAGATGAATACGGTAATGCGGCATTTTGAGCATAAAACCCAGTTACCCAGTATAGTTTGGTTTCGTTAAATATTTAGTGCACTCTTCCTTCATCCTTGTGGGCAGAGTTGCCATCCAGGCCATCCACCCCAAAACGTCGCCGGTGTGTCAAAGCTGTTGATGCCGAAGTTGCACTCTTGGACCTGCAAGGCAGACCGACTGGATGACTGACTGGATTGGTGAAGCAGCACTCCGCAAAAACGCAGCCAACGTCCATAGTAGATGACACCCCTCCAACCAAGTGCAGGTGCTTCAGTGGTTTCGTGTAGCTTGTGGACTGGATGTTCATCCGGAGTATGGCACAACACAACCACCAACAGACCTTGATTGTTCAGCTCTCGTGTCTGTGCATCCTCCAAGAGTGGAGGCGTAGAGTTAAAAGATTCTCATATGGCAAGGCCAGGATCCCTTGATTCAAAGAAATCGAAACAACTCAAAGTCAAAAAACGAGTCAATTGGAAAAGTCAAAAAAGGGTCGGAAAACCATCAAGAAAAAGTCAATCTTGGAAAACAACTCGAAAAAGTCACCAAAAAAGTCAAAAAAAAACAGGTTGAATAAAACAAGCAAAAAACATTTCGTAACAATTTACACCAAAAAAAAGAACACAACTCAAAAAAGTCAAAAAAGATCATACACGTCGGAGAAAAAGAAACACGTCATAAAGTCAAAATTAGAAAACATGTCAAAAATAGAAGTTGGACAAAAGGCAAAACAAAAGTCAGATCTGTGCCAATTGACTTTTTGTTTGACTTCTTATTTTTTTCTTTCTGACACTTTCTGATTTGACGTTTTTTTGACTTCTACTTTTGGCACCGACTGCTATGTTGACTTCTTTCAATGTTGAAAACAGAACAAAAGACTTTTCTATCCCTATAGAGATGATGACCGGTCCGATGTTCTCGGGTGCTCAGGTCTTGACATGTAATGACCCACACCGCGGTGCTCAAGTGAAACTTCCCCCTGGACGTTCCAGCAAAAACAGTGAAAACAACACGTCTGCCTCTACACACCTTGTGCCTTGTGCTACAAAATCGTATGCACTTCAGGCAACATCTAAAATCATCTAAACTGATCGGGCCCACTGGTTCTTGGCAATGCGCAAGACTACATTGGGCAGCTTGCAATCTCCATTTACCCCAGTCTCACCATGGACCCACGAAGGAAACACATGCTCAACTTCAGGAAAACCCTGACATGCTCTCTTCCGCAGCCCATGGAACGGAGCACCTCCGCTGCATGGAACGGTTCTCTCAGACTTCGCCTCAAAGGCCAAAAGGCACCGCCCCCGGTCATGACACGGCCTCTGTCAGTGGGAGCGGATACTGTAGGATACTGTAGGCACGTATATGCAATAGCAAGGACTCCGGGACATCTATAAACCGTAAAAGCAGCGTGAAAGGAACTTGAATCAAATCATGATGAAGAGTGCTCACCTGAAACCCATGGATCATCTTCTTAAGCCCAAAGAAACCCGGCCCAACGATGCCCCTTCAGCCCCAGCGTGTCCTCATGAAGGTGATGTTCCCAACATGAGCTCCTGGAAAAAGGACTGAAAGAAACCCACTCGGCTCGCCACGTTCGCAGGCCGGGATCTCTTTCAGACCTGGCAGAATGGCAACACTACGTCGGTTGACAAGCCAAGCAGATTGGTGGTGAAGTCATCAAAGTGGATCGCTTGCAGAACCTTGCTGATATCCATGGAGGATTATTGAATAGATTACACTCCCTGGAACTAACATGGAAGTGGAGAATGGCCCCTTGGAAGACCATTTTCCACTACAAACAGGTGGTTTTCCACTTCCATGTTAATTCCAGGGGGAGTATTGAATATTGAAACGTTTGAAACACCCCCACGCTGTCCCAAAGTTATCTGTGTCATCCGCTGCTATGACAACGTGAAAAAGCCACGGTGCACTTGTGTGCTCGGATGTGCTTGGTGTTTCCGCAGGTTCCGGAGGAGTGTGAGAAAATGCTGCTATATGGAACCTGCAAACCCTTGCAACTCGAAACGGTCGTTATACTGTACTTACCCCCAAGCAGAAACCCTGAAAAGCACCAAAAAAGCCATGAAGCCAAAGCACACCTTCCCCTTCCCAGCCCTGCGCCGTGACGGTAGAGGCATCTAGACTGGTGCGGAGTAAGACCTGCGGGCGACACATGCCGAAGAAGTCCTGCGCTTCCAAGCAGTTGAGGATGTCCCTTCTAGCAGCCAACCTGGGCATCTCACGGTTGGTGTTCGGGGCGGAAAGACCTGCAAGAGATGGAGTTCACATGCGTCAGTAGAGCTATCACAAACAGGGCCCATTGACATAATGTGTGTTTGGGGACTTGTTTCTGTTTCTATATCCGGTGGACATAAACATCATGATCCACTAGGTGTGCAGCATGAACAATCGTCTCATTCCAAGCCGAAAGGATGCTGGTACAATGTCTTAAGACGCCCTGCAGGCGCACCTCATCTACTTGAATGGATGCATGCAAACATGTACTCAAATGATCAAACTGGGGGCTATCCCCTGCCCAGTGATTAGCAGTCAGCAGTTGCCTGTGCATCTTCCAAGTGGATCTGCGTGAGTCCCAGTAGGACTGGGACACTCACGAAGCCACATCAAGCAAACCGCGCGCCGCGTGGGGCGGTTAGCCCACAGGTGGACACTTCTGGAAGCCCTTCCTGAGCGCTGGACTCTTTCCTGGGCAGGTCAGCAAGTAGGGGACCCCTCTTCTCTCCTCTCTCGTCTTGTCTTTCTCTTCTGTGTCATCTCTCTCCGTCTCTGCCCCTGGCTGTCTCAATCGGCGCTGAGTACGAAGATCTGCTCTCTAAACTAGCGTTCCACCCCTCCCAATTCTTCACAAATAGGATCACATTGACAATTTGACCATCATGCCATGATTCACCAAACCATTTGCCCTTTTACCAATTGGATCACAGAGGAAACTGGTACAACAGGATCTTCACCAAACCAGCTGGATCACATTGGCCGGTTTCTGCATCGCTTTTGCATAGTACTGCTGCTGGGGGTTGGGAAGGATTTGGACCGAAGAGTGAGGTTTCACGCTGGAAGCTGCTTCGGAGCCTACCTCCAGAATCCAGAACATAGTCAGCGCAACCAGCGGCGATGGTTTTGGCCCCGGATGTTGGAATGGACGTTGAATCTAACTGGAAGCCCTGCAGGCCCACTGCGGCTCCCCTAGGTCCCACTGCAATCGTGCAGGCCTCCGACACTTAGTAGAATCTTTCAACTTGACGCGCACAACCCACTACAAATCGGGGTTCCTCCTACAGAGTTCCTCTATTTTCACATCTGTCTCGAATCCTGGGATGAAATACATGGCAACCATGATCTTGTCTACTTTGTGATCTGGCCGCGGTTCAACCCTGCTGCCACAGCGTCAAGTAGGCCGCAATGGCATTCTTCCGAGATTCCAAGTATTCCGGGCCTTGGGCTTGGAGGCACCAACCCGAAGACCTGTAGAGTCAGTGTGTCTCTTCAGGGTACCATGGAGCTACATAGAATAGGAACATATACACATAGGGTACCGTACCATCGTACCATGGTACAGTATTGTTGTAAAACCAACAAATAGATTCCACATATCCTACGACTCTTTGTCAGATTTTCGGTTGGGTACCCATTTAGCGCGGCACGGAGCTTCACAAACTCTATTGGGAACCGGTGAACCTCCGTGTGTTGGGAACGAACCGGTGAAGGTTCTCACCGGCGCAGGCCAGTTGGCATACAGTAAAACCTTGGACTGTAAGTAAAACCTTGGCATGCCTCATCCAGCAGCTTGTTTGGCCTTCTTATCCATACAAAAAAATTGCCAGGGTCATCAAACTTGTGCATTCACTCTGGAGACCCCTGGAGACTGTTATCCACTCTTTGGTAGGTGCCTCATGTCTGGACTTCGGGAGGTTCTCCTCCCTGGCCCCTGAGTGCAAGGTCCTTTGCTAGGTGTGGGATCCAACAGTGCCCGGAAGAAGAAGCTGGTACAAATCGTCCAGTCCCAGCTATCACAGTGTGAAATGCAACCCTTCCAGTGCTGTGTGAGTTGATCACCAAGAAGGAACACACAGAGTCATCATTCTCCAGATATAAGTCCGCGTCACGTGACGATATGTGACTTCATAGTAAGCGGATGTAAATGACATCTCACACCCCCAAACGACAAGGATCACCCGACCCAGCTCTCAGGTGTCGGCCCTTTTTGTACATCCTCTAGCCACAGCCTTCGCATGCCTTTGCGCCGTTGTCAAACCGCCTGATCTCCCAAAGCACCTTTCAAATCTATTCATTTCTTCTTCCTCAGTGTCAACTTTCCACGCAGCGACCCAGTGAAGTCTCAGAGCAACAAAGAACTTCTGAATGGAGGATCAGAACGAGGGCATCTAAAATCAAAGGAACATATCTGATGAATTCTGGTGTTTTATCTAATGAATCTGAAAACATTTTGGGTAAACAGAACGAGTTGAATGACACTTGGCCATGAAGCTGGCATCACGCACAGTGTGCGTGTGTGTGCCAATGTGAATTACACTAGACTCATAAATCATAAATGATTGTAAACATGATAAACGGTGTGTATATAGAAAAAATGTTGTTGGAAACTGCAACAAAGCAGCGTGCCCTACACTAGCTGGAGTTCAATTGGTTTGTGTACCTTATGGTTTAGACTTTAGTGTGCAACCAAAGATTGGAACACAAATGCGCTGGCTGGACTGGGTTATGAAGAAAGTATGCGATTTGGCCCATACAAAGAAAAACCCATCGGTAAATCAATTGAGGCTCTGATATATAGCCTAGAATTGTTAAACATGTTGTTGAACACATGTTGTTTGACCGCAGAAAGTTTGGTGTTTCATTCCTGTCCGAGAAGAATATATATATAATATATAGATAGATAGGTAGATCATTATACTATAATATACTATATACATATATATATATATATGTGTGTGTGTGTGCCTTCATGACAAGATGCGGGCTGATCAGCTTGTTGTTTGCACAAGCACAACTGCACAATGGCGGCAGCAGTGGCACAACTGCAAACCACTGAGAGGCAAAACTTGCTTGGGCTGGGGTTTGGTGGCAACTCGTCACAAGGTGCTCGGGTGCAAGCACGAAGGGCGATGAAGGGAAATGAAAGGCGATTAACACCATAGTTTTTTCATCACCCCTCAGCATTCCATGCAGCCTCTTTGCTCAAATGTTCCTAAGGTGTGGCCGCCAAGTTTGTAGCAATGAAAAGGCCAAGTAGTGCCTTGACACAGCAGGCCTTGAAAAAGGCCAAGGGGAAGGCAAAATCAAAGGCAGCCTTGACAAAGGCACCAATGAAAGCCTGGAGACCTTTAGAAATGCAAGCCCCAAGCAAAAAGCAAAGTTCACTGTCAAAAACTTGGCGCAGTTTGGCCAAGCCTCCCAGAAGGAGAAAGTATAAGAACATTGCGGAGGAGCATGATGATGAAATTCAAGCAGCAAAGGTCTTGCAGGATAATGTGACTGCCCAAGGGAAAACAACGGCTTGGAACCAATACAGCAGTGGGTTGCTAAGCCAGCGAATCAATCTGCCAAAGAAGTGTGGAAGAACCAGTCAACACAACCAGCTTTGCACATGAGGGTGGAGTGCCCCCAAGTTTTGCTTCGTAACTAAGCTCAGTATGAACAAGTTCTTAGTTCTTGAAAAAAGGCTGTGTGAAACAAAATTTTGGACGAACGGGGTGAAAACACGTCTCAGGTCTCCACTTGAAGGTTTGTAGATGGGGCAAGAGTTCCAGCTGTGAAAAGAAAAGCAAGATGAATGCGAGTCCAAGGGAAGAACAAGGGTCAAAGCAAAGGTGGAAACTGATGGTATAAATGAAGGCGTGCATGCTGGAGGTTGCTGCAGTGAAGAATGCGAAGGAAGAGGACAGAAAACTTGCACTGAAGACGGGCACCGCTGGAAGAGGGCTGCGCTGCCTTTAGAAGAACGGATCAAAAGGTGCATGTTCCTTTGTTCTTGATACAAGCGTGCTTTTGTTTGTTGTGCAATGCTACGTGACACCAAACCCTCGACCGCGCTCTTGGTGGTTGTTTGAAGGGCAGATGGACAAAAGAGAAGCGAACAGCCAATTCGTCCAGCCACGGTTTCTTGCCACCCTCGGTGGCCATCTTCTGCTGGGATATCTTCTCCGCAATGACCTGCTTCACACACTTCTGCTCCTCAATCAAGAAGGCCCTCACAATGCCTCAGCAAGTGCCCAGGTTATCGGGGTAAGGTGTTCAAACCTCCGGTTTTTGTAGGTTCTTGCGCGACCTGTTACACCTGCCCAATGGCACATATATAAACAACAAAAACTGGGAAGCAGTGCCTTGTAGAAAATGTAGAAATCCGGCTTACATAACTGTGCAAAAAATTCATAAATAGTCCTATCTGGCTCTATATTTCTTCCCGAATGCGTAGCGAAGGGCTCCCGTTTATAGTTGGGGGTCTGGGGGTCGGACCTGTGTTCGCCTCGCGGGGTCTGACTCGTCGTCGTGTCGTTGCTAATTTGTCCACATTGGGCGAAGCTTTGGAGATGGATTTGGATGGAAGCATGACGTGTCAGATTCGTGTGAAATAGGGAGGAAACTGGTGGAAACGTAAGATGTTGAAGTGTGGAGAACCATTTCACTGCGCAGGCGCAGCGTTTAGTGAGATCCGCAGTTTTCTACGTAGTCAGATTGGGATTGGCTTTTGGAGGGCGGTGTTTTTGGTGTGTTGGATGTGGCTGTGACATTGGGATTTGCGTTTCAGGGTGTTGCGTCGCAAGGTCTCAGCCGAAATGGCGATTTTGGTGGATGGGAGTGTTGTCAGAACGTGTCGAAATCATTCCAAACGTGTGGTGTGGTGTAAATTTTGTTGAATCTCACATGATATGATATATTGTCACTTTTCGCGGCAGGCGCAGTACTTTGTGCGGGCTTTGAGGTGTGGAAGTGCGATTGTCGTGGCAGGCGCGGGGAATTGTGAGGTTGCGAGGTGTGGTGGAGGCCGCATGTCGCAGGCGCAGTATTTTGTGCGTGTTAGACGTGTGGATGTGCAAATTTCCGTGGCAGGTGCAGGGAATCGTGAGGTTGCGAGTTGCGGTGGAGGTGAATGTCCCTGTGACATTGGGATTGGCGTGTGAGCGGGTGTTGTTTGGAGGGAGTTTTTGAGGAAGTCGACGCGTGACTTTTGGAGGACGTCTCGCGCGAAACACTCGTTTTGGTGACTTGACGCGAGAGTTTTTGAGGACGTCTCGTACGAAACGCTCGTTTTGTAGACTTGACATGTGACTTTTTGGAGGACGTCTCGCACGAAACGCTCGGTCTGGAGACGTGACGGTTGACTTTGAGTGTCCTACAAGAGTGCGCCAGAGTGTCCTACAAGAGTCCCCACAAGAGTGTCCTACAAGAATGTCCCACAAGAGTGTGTGTCCCACAAGAATGCCATACAAGAGTGTCCCAAAAGAGTGGCCCCAAGAGTTTTAGAAGAGTGCTCCGCAAGAGTGCTCGACAAGAGTGCCTTAGAAGAGTGTTCCACAAGAGTGTCCCGCAAGAGTGACGAGTGAGTGTCATACAAGAGTGACAAACAAGAGTGTCCCATCATTGTCCCGCAAGAGTGTCCCACAAGAATGTCCGACAAGAGTGTCCTACAAGAGTGCCCCACAAAAGTGTCCTACAAGAGTGTCCCACAAGAGTGTCCTGCAAGGATGTCCCACATGATTGTCCTACAAGAGTGTTCCGCAAGAGCGTCCCACAAGAGCGTCATAATATAAGAGCATCCCACAAGAGAGTCCTACAAGAGCCACAAGAGTGCCCCACAAGAGTGTCCTACGAGAGTGTCCCGCAAGAGTGACATACAAGAGTGTCCTACAAGACTGTTTCGCAAGAATGTCCTACCAGGGTGTCCCACAAGAGTGACAAACAAGAGTTTCCCACAAGAGTGTCCCGCAAGTGTGTCCCACAAGAATATCCTACAAGAGTGTCCTACAACAGTGCCCCAGAGTGTCCTGTAAGAGTGCCCCAAGAATGTCCAACAAGAGTGCTCCACAAGAGTGGCAAAAAAGAGTGTCCCACAAGAATGTCCTACAAGAGTGTCTCAGGTCCTACAAGAGTGCCCAACAAGAGTGTCCCACAAGAGTGTCCTACGAGAGTGTCTCACAAGAGCGACAGACAAGAGTGTCCAACACGAGTCCTACAAGTGTGTTTCGCAAGAGTGGCCTACAAGAGTGACAAACAAGAGTGTCCCACAAGAGTGCCCCGAGTGTCCCACGAGAGTTTCCTACAAGAGTGTCCTGCACGAGTGACCACAAAACTGTCCGACAAGAGTGTCCCACAAGAGTGTCCTGCAAGAGTGTCCCACAAGAGTGTCCCACAAGAGTGTCCCACAAGAGTGTCCTGCGAGAGTGTCCCACAAGAGTGACATACAACAGTGTCCCACAGGAGTGTCCTACAAGACTGTTTCGCAAGAGTACCCTAGAGTGTCCAACAAGAGTGTCCTACAAGAGTGTCGCACAAGAGTGACACACAAGAGTGTCCCACAAGAGTGTCCTACAAGACTGCTTCGCAAGAGTGTCCTACGTCCTACAAGAGTGTCCCACAAGAGTGAGTGTCATACAAGGTGTCCCACAAGGGTGCCCAAGAGTGTCCCACAAAGGTTTCTGAAAAGAATGTGTCCTACAAGAGTGTCCCACAAAAGTGTCTCCTACAGCTACAAGAGTGTCAAAAATTGTTTGGGTGTTTGTTTTCGAGTACGTGTTTGCATTCGGGTTCGTGGGTTCCATCTTGTTTTAATATAACCAAGTAACATGTTCATATATGATTGATTCGTTTTGCAAAATGGCCGCTTGCAAGCAACGTTATGTTATCTACAAAATGCAACTCCACAACCTTCACATGTCATATGTCAAAAATGAACAATACTATAGAGTGACCTTCCGCAATTTCTACAGTATGTTGAATCTTGGCCTCCAAAAAATGGCTCTACAAAATGCAAGTGCTTGAGGTCACAAAAATGCACCATTGCAATTGCACCATACTAAAAACATCTAAAAACACAATATTAAAGCCTTGACGTATCCCATGTCGTAAGGGAATTGGCATCAGGGATCTGCGTGTTTTAAAACATGTATACATGCATATGTATATACATACAGTATCACACAGTAAAAGGTTGCGACATATTGAACATTGCCGAACCACATTCAATCCACCTTGTCGTGCAACAGGGTGGGGGAGGTGAGCATCCGTGGCTTCTCAAGTTTGAAGGATGATCATTGGACATGGTCCTGTTCAATATCAGATTTCAAATCTTTGCTTCTACGGCTTCATGTGCTTTTGCCCCGCAGTCTTGCCCCATTGATGAAGACCCAGTTGTCCGCTGCGATTGTGTTGCTTGGGGGAGATCTCTCACCCAGGCCTGACCTCTTGTGGGTGGCTACTCGGCATTGATTCCAAGTTGTTTGACTTCAACAGAACTCTCCGATCCAACCGGTGCTGAGGCCGCTGCGTGAGCGCACACAGCCAGCGCAACGGGAGCCACCGTACGCGCGGTTCACACGCTTCTCACGTTTCTTCAGTCGAGCGTACTCGATGGGCCGCAAGCGAGGGAGGCCGATCAAGGCCTTGCCGCAGTCACCGCCTGAAGAATGAGTGGTGTCAGGACTCGCAGCTCATCGGAGGTCTCATGCTCAAGATATCTCAACCAAGGAACAAATGGGGCCTTTCGCCTTCTTCTTCACCACCTGAAACACGGCCCGGCCGCCCGGAGTCTTCACCACCCGCTGCTTGTTGGACTTGGTGTTGTAGCCTCGGGTCTCGGGCCGTGCCGCCTGCCCGGAAGCCGAGGGGCTCCATGAGATGCGGCAGAAGACCACTTGGGAGCACATCGATGTTGGCGAAGAGTATCGACAAAGCCAAGAACTCTTGGAAGATGGAGATCTCAAAGGAAGATGTGATACTCACAGGAAGATGGGTCCAAGTCACTATTGTTGGACGAACCAAAGATGGGGATCTCAAAGGCTGTGGAACCCTCACAGGTGGACGAAGATGGAGTCTCCCCAACAGAGCTGGGTGGATCAAAGATGCTCCTGAAAGAGTCGAGGCCCCCAGTTCCGATTGCACGTTTGACACTGACACATCTCATGTCGTGTCGAAGTTGATTGAAGAAGCTAAACCTGGGATGTTTGGCAATTAGCCTGCCTAATCTTGCCAAGCTATGTTGTATCAAGCTCGTAGTCACTGGTCCTGGCCTTAGTTTGCCTTAGTGCAGTTTCGGATCATTTCGGGCTCAGCCAGGGGATCCGACACTGCACACAACCCATCCAAACAACCTGGTTCGACCACTCATGACATGGGCGCTACGTCGCTACGTTCTACCCAGTTGAGAGCCACTGTGAACCCCCCAAAAACACAACCTACCGGGGTCATCAATGGATATCCCAAACTACTGATGGGCTTTCATTGCACCCTTCGGATGGTCGGTCCAGGTGGAAATTCTTTGATGGTCCTGGTCGACAATCCCCCAACGTGGATTGGGCATTGTTCTTGGAGAAGGCCCCCTCCAATTCCACGAAATCCACTAAATGTCACTAAAATCCCTACTGTAAATCTGATTCCACCCAGACACGGCATTGCCGCCGATAGGTCAAACGGAAGGCCATGGCTGGCACCGGTCAAGCCCGAGCCAAAAGGTCAGGCTACAGAGTGCGAAGGGACATTGAAGTTGATTTGCCGAGCTCAGTTCGCATCAAACAAATGTTAAAGGCCCACTAATCATTGTGATGGTTAAGTGCATGGCAATTGCCTCTGACAAAATCCGAATACCCCACAGGTGGTTGTACACTTTCCATGACTATTTTAGGGAGCGTAGCGGTCCTTTCCTTTGTCCTCGCTGTTTCAGAATGTTGTTCCCTTTGTTTGCTATTCAGGTCATTTGTAAAGTGGTCCGTCACTTGTGGTGTGGTTGGCCCAAACCCAGCACTCAAAACTGCGTGCTGTCTTCACGTGAGATAACCCAAAATGATATCGGTCAGTGTCTGCCCACCTACACTAGAAAGCCGCACCCCAGCTTTCTTGGGACAAGGTTAACTCAACTTACCTTTACACCTCCTTTCTCACCTGTGCATTTGCAAGAGAAATCCAAATGCAAATCGCTATATGAGACGTTACCATCCGGGACGGAAACCACAACACCCCAACCAGGTGTTGTTTTCCAACAATCTGCAATCGGTTCGACCTTTTTGGAGGGCATCGATTGATTGAAGGGAAACAAGAATTAATTTATATACGTGCTTCTTGTTACTAGTAGCGATGCACCTGTTACTACTAGCTTCTAGTCAATATATGTTTCATGAGTTCGCCACTGTCCACAAAGACCTGAAAGTGCTTCGTCCTGAGACACCCCGCTAAACTGTCGCACCACCTCAGGGAGGAAGCAATGGACATGGTGTTTGATGTTTTGGGGCCACCAGTGGCCAGTGGTACTGCTGCATGCAAGTTCTACTGCCGCCCAAGAACCAAATGCAGCGACTGGTTGTAAAAGCGGGAAACTCTTGTATATTTAGTATATTTAATGCATCCTTCTGCAATTTCTGTGGGCTGTGACTGCTCAGGGAAAGCAGAAGGCAATAGTCCATCGTATGCGCGTCGCATGAATCACTCACAAAGACCTAGGCGTGTGACCTGCAAAACCTGCCAATTCAAAGAACAATGAACAAATGAATACAACAAAACATAACAAGAACACGACTCACAACGCATTCAAAACAAACAAACCTACCAACAACACAACACAACACAACGACAAAAGAAGGGACACAAACACAAATAACACTCGAAATGAAACAACATCGGACACATCACTGATGTTTTGCGCTGTTTGTATGTCTATGGTTTTTGCTTGTTGCTCGTTTTGCACTTTTCATACCTTTAAACTTCAATCATTCAGAACACTATTGTCATGGGCCGAGTTGTTTCAACCATTCCTCGAGCAAATGAACCCCAGTCGAGGTTAGTGTAAATTACTGCATGTGCCACATATAGACAAGTGATAGACAAGTGACATGGCCCAAACTATGATTGTTTGTAAGGCCATGTTTTTGGTCACTCTCCCTGACCCGATTGGAACAAAGGAGTGCTGAGAAACCGACCTGAGGACCTGGTTGTCAACTTGAGGCCGGGGGTTGGTGGCGAAACAAGAAGCTACTAGGAACAAGTGCATCGCTACTAGGAACAAGGGCCTTACTAGTAGTAACAATGTTTGCTATTAGAAACAAGAAGCTACTAGTGTGGCTTTCTCCCAGCCAAAGCTTGATTCAGAGGTGGTCACAGGGGAGAGTTGAACCCGCCGGGGGGGCACTTCGCGTGAGTTCTTCCCAGGGTAGGGCATTCCATCCCACAGAAAAAAGAAACTTGCTAGAAGTAAGAGTAACTCCAGCTAGCTGACGCAGACCGCTTTCGTGAAAACTTGAAAACGATCAAGAACGTGGATTGCCCTGGACTCCCTGACCTGCCAAGGTTGCAAATGTTTACTTGATTCCAGTTGCTGATCTCCGGGCCCATCGAGCTGGTGGACAGCGAAGGGTAGCAAAGCATGCAAGCAGAATACTCAAAATGAGTCTGCCGCTGGAACAAACCGTCAAAGCCCTCCAACAGGAATCTTCAACAAAATGAGGCTTGGGCCGTAATTTCAGCTCATGTCACCCTACTTAGAACCGGAGAAATCATCGACCTAGCCAGATTGGATCCACCTTTGTTCCTGGCCTGGCCTCATCCAGCCAGCCTGGTCTCAAAGTGCTAAGTGTGCCACAGACTTGGCTGGCAGCTCTGGCAGGGATGCCACGCGCCTAAGGCACGGAGCACGTGTTTGATGGCAGGGACCGGGACAACATATGTCGTACTGCTGCACTTCTACACATATACAGTTGTTATACAACTAAATGCCCAGTGGGCCAACAATACGGACTCGCACCTCCGCAGGGACTGATGCATGGTGGAGATCTGCTGAAAGCGCCGTCTCCTGGGTCAGCGCTGGCGGAATTGAAGACTTCAAGACAGGTGATTTGAGACCTAGTATTGCATAGTATTGCTGGTTCAGTTCCGTGCGTGCGGCATCTCTTATCTGTGCCACTTGGAACTTTCGAAATCGAAGGTCTGATTGACTGACGATGTGTGTGGTCATTTTTGGTCCCTACTGTGTTGGTTTAAGAGGCTCCAAGGCACTATGGACCTGTAAGGTTTTGAGATGTGATGTCCACGAGGCAGGCATCGTATGCCTACGAATCCGTACGAATCACAGATGAGCTGGATCCAGGCACTGGCAGCCTGGTAGCCTTCTCACACCATACATAGCGCGCTCATCTCCCCATCCCCAGGTTCGTCGAGATTACATTCCCCAAAAATGGAACAAAATGGTCACGGTTAGGCTAGGGTAGAATGTTTTCTCTAGAAAGTGGCTTTGTTATGTTCAGCTTGCATCAGGACTTCTGAAGGAGGGCCCTTGGGCATAGTAATGGATGATTCTCAAGATGGCGTAGCGCTCTTCACCAAGACTCCTCTTTTCCCGCCCCCATTTGCGGCATTCTTGGCACCCTCACAGCGACCAGGGGCTCGAGCCGTTCATCCGGACCTGGCTGGTGTGGCAGAAGGTTCTGGCCCAAACCTTGCCCTTTGCTGGGGAAAGTTGACTGTTCTTGGTTTGTTGACATTCTGCTGAAGTCACCCCGGAGGCCTCACCAAGAAGTTCAATCAGGTCTTCTATCCATGTGTCTGCTGGAGCCACAAGAGCCTTGAAATTTCAACCTTCAACTTTCTCCAATGACGCGCGGTGTTTTTGAGGTGAAACTAACTCCAGGAGCTCCATTGCCCATCATCCCAGGCACCGCCCCAGTCCCAGTCACCCTCTTGGCCATGAGGTCGGCATGGCCCACCACAAGGGCCGCAAGGACCAGGACCACAGCCACCACAGCCACAGCTTCCAGGGCAACAGCCACATGGCCCGCAGCCGCCTGGGCAACATCCACCAGGTCCGCAGCCACCAGGTCCGCAGCTACCAGGGCCACAGCCGCCGCAGCCGCCTGGGCAACATCCACCAGGTCCGCAGCCACCAGGTCCGCAGCCACCAGGGCCACAGCCGCCTGGGCAACATCCACCAGGTCCGCAGCCGCCTTGGCAACATCCAC